GAGACAGAGATACCTTTTCCTTTGGGGGTCCTGTGACGGCTCCTCTGACCTTAAGGGTCCACAGAAAGAGAGAGAGAGAGCCAGCATGTGCTGACCCCTTTTATTAAGAAGGAGCCATTCAAATGAGGCAAGGGGTCAGGTTTCAGGGGCCTAAGTCTAGCTTCATGATTTCTGCTGTCAGCAGGTTGACTGACATCTAGGAAGGCCACACCCAAAGGCAGAGTAAGAGAAAGGGACACACAAAGGGCATTTCCATGGAATATTCTATCCCAAACAGGGCAAAGGGGTAATATCACAAAGGAACAGATGAGCATAGCTCCATCCATGGGGCTGCAGGAAAGCACACCTACGCATGAAGACACATTCTGCTACTTCGAGGATTGGGGCAGTGTCTGGGGCCACTACGAATGTGGCCAGATCACTACAAAAGTGATGGATAGAGCCTCTACCAATGGAAGGAAAATGCTAATCACTCAACTTGACAGCCTCCCACAGTGTGGGGCAGGGGCAAGGGAAGAATAAAGGAACTTTGGATTGGACAGAGGGGAGCGAGTGGAGGGGAGGGGGTGTGGAGGCAGGAAGATGGTGGAACGAGATGGACATAATTACCCTATGTACGGGTATGACTGCACAAATGGTGTGACTCTATATCATGTACAACCACAGAAATGAAAAGTTGTGCTCCATTTGTATAAAAAAATTAAATTAAAAAAAAAAAGATAGATTGGAGCTGGGTGCAGTGGCACACGCCCGTAATCCCAGTGGCTCAGGAGGCTGAGACAGGAGGATCCTGAGTTCAAAGCCAGCCTCAGCAAATTGAGGTGCTAAACAACTCAGTGAAACCCTGTCTCTAAATAAAATATAAAATAGGGCTGGGGATGCAGCTCGGTGGTTGAGTGCACCTGAGTTCAATCCCAGGTACCAAAAAAAAAAAAAAAGAAAGAAAGAAAGAAAGTGGGTAGGCACAACACAAATATATTTATGTATATAATATATATATGTGTATATATATATATTTTTTTTTATTTTATTTATTTATTTTGAAGTGATCTGGCCACATCCGTAGTGGCCCCAGACTCTGCCCAGATCCTTGAAGTACCAGAATATGTCTTCATGCATAGGCGTGCCTTCCTGTAGCCCCATGGATGGAGCTATGCTCACCCGTTCCTTTGTGATATTACCCCTTTGCTCTGTTTGGGATAGAATGTTCCATGGAAACACCCTTTGTGTGTTCCTTTCTCTTACATGTGTGTGTGTGTGTACATATATCATATATATAAACACAAACATATACATATACATATAATGCAAGCCATTTTACAGTTTTAACTTAAAACTATATAATAGTTCAAAATAAACCTTATTTTAATTGAAACAAATGAACTTCTCTATATGCCAAGTTGGCTCACAAGCATATAAAGAATGATTTCAAGTGATCTTAAAACATGGTATTTTGACCATATATCCCTAATGTGATATCTTTTTTCCCCAAGTACTAGAGATTGAACACAAGGGCACTCAACCACTAAGCTTCATCCTCAGTCCTTTCTATTTTTTGAGAAAGGGTCTTATTAAGTTGCCCAGATTAGCCCTGAACTTCCAATCTTCCTGCCTGAGCCTCCCAAGTAGTAGGGATTACAGGCATGTGCCACCAGGTCCAGCTTTAATGTGATATCTCACACACACACACACACACACACACACACACACACAGTCCTAATACATTGAGTACTTCTATTTTTTTAATGATGTTATTGTATTTTTTATTCCTTTATTTATTTATTTATTTTAGTGGTACTGAGGATCAAACCTAGTGCCTCACACATGCTAGTGCTCTACCACTGAGCCACAACTGCAGCCCAGAGTACTTCTACTGATAGTTAGAATATTGGGTTATTGGGGCTGGGGATGTGGCTCAAGCGGTAGCTCGCTTGCCTGGCATACATGCGGCCCGGGTTCGATCCTCCGCACCACACACAAACAAAGATGTTGTGTCCGCTGAAAAACTAAAGAATAAATATTAAAAAAAATTCTCTCTCTCTTTAAAAAAAATATTGGGTTATTTTATTTTTTGAAACCATTGAAAAACTAAATCATTAATAATGTTATTGTGATTAAAGAACTCAAATTCAGTATAAGAAATTTTAAAATGTTGAATTTTAAAAGTAAACTCAAAACACTGTTTTCCTTTGGGAGGTTAGAAATATCAGGATATTATCCTGATTTATTTCTCTCTCTCTTTCTTTTGCTCTCTCTTTGTGTGTGGTGTGTATATCTGTGTTAACCCAGGGACACTTAACCACTGAACCACATCTCCAAGCCTTTTTGAGACATGGTTTCACTAAGTTGCTAAGGGCCTCACTAAACTGCTGAGGCTGACCTTAAATTTTCAACATTTCTGCCTCAGCCTCCCTAGTCCCTGGAATTACAGGAAAGCACCACCACATCCAGCTTATTTTTCTTCCTTCTTCTTTTTTATTTTTGGTGTGTAGGGGGGGTGGGTAATAGGGATTGAACCGAGGAGTGCTTAACTACTGAGCCACATCCCCACCCTTTTTTGTTTTTATTTTGAGACAGTGTCTCACTAAGTTGGTTAGGGCCTTGCTAAATTACTGAGGCTGGCTTTGAATTTGCAATCCTCCTGCCTCAGCCTCCTGAGCCACTGGGATTACAGACATGTACCACTGCCCTGGGTATTTTTCTCTTTCTTAAAAATTGCTCTTTTCTAATACAAAATACTGAAATGGGCTTAAAGCAATGACAATTCAATAAACACAATTTTGCCCAGACAATAGACTCTCAACAGCATTTCTCACTAAATAAATCAGGGGTCTCTGAAGAAATGTCTAATCCAGGACAAAGATACACGAGAGAAGCCTGAAATATCTTTTTCTCTCTAAATGCAGAAGGATTACTGAGGTCTTTTCCACAGGACATAGGAGCTCACTTAGAAAGGCTCCAGATAGGAGGACATCTGAGCATCAAAAATAATGATGACTATAAAGATAAAGATGTGACATACAACAAATCTGTTTAAAAAGTAAATGTTAAGAATGGGATTAAAAAATGTAAAATGTATAAAAAGAATGTAAAATGTAAAAAGAATATAAAATGGTAAATCATTCATAAAAGTTTAGCATTTTCTTAAAAAGTTAAATAATATAGCACCCAACAATTCCATTCCTAAGTATTTCCCGAAGAGAAATAACAGACATAACCACATAAAAACTGCTATACAAATGCTTACAGTCACATTATTCACAATAGCCAAAAAATAGAAATAAAATAACCATCAACAAGCAAAGACAGAAACAAGTTGTGGTGTGTGTTCACAGTGGATTGTGACTCAGTGCAATGGTCTAAATGTCCATGTCCCCTGGTTTCATCATACACTGAGACCTGATTCTTGAAGGTTCTAGGAGATGGAACCTTTGGAATGTGATCAGGACATGTGGTAAGGCCTTCATCGATGGGATTAGTTACTGTATAAAAGAGGACCAAGGGAGATCCCTTACCCCTTGGAATTATTCTTACAAAGAAAAAAATGTTTTGATCAGGTAAAGCCTTAAAATGTAACTACCAGATTAAACAAGAAACATTTTCAATGATACACTGAGGATAATCAGCCAAAATACAAAATGAGGGATTAGAAAAATTATTTTCTATAAAGAATAAATGGAGGCTGGGGTTGTGGCTCAGAGGTACAGCACTTGTCTAGCATGTGCGAGGCTCTGAGTTCGATCCTCAACACCACATAAAAATAAGTAAAACAAAGCCATCTTGTCCAACTACAACTAAAAAAATATTTAAAAAAAAGAATAAATGGTACATCAAAAGACGTGTATGTGGGGCTGGGGTTGTGGCTCAGCAGTAGAGCGCCCGCCTAACTTGAGAGGCGCTGGGTTCGATCCTCAGCACCACATATAAATAAAGAAATAAAATAAAGATATTGTGTCCAAGTGTAAATAAAAAAATATTTTTAAAAAGAAAAGGGGTGTGTGTGTGTGTGTGTGTGTGTGTGTGTGTGTGTCAGGCTGCGGTTGTGGCTAAGTTGGTAGAGCGCTTGCCTAGCATGTGTGAGGTACTGGGTTCGATCCATATAAATAAATGAATAAAATAAAGGTCCATCAACATAATAAATGAATAAAATAAAGGTCCATCAACATCTAAAAAAAAATTTTTTTTAAATATGTGTATATATAGCCAGGCACAGTGGTGCAGAGTCTTTGCAGATATAATCAAGTTAAGATGAATACTAGGGGCTGGGGCTATAGCTCAGCAGCAGAGCGCTTGCCTAGCACATGTAAGGCACTGGGTTCAATCCTCAGCACCACATAAAAATAAATAAATAAAGGTATTGTGTCCAACTACAACTAAAAAAATAATTTAAAAAAAATGTATGTGTGTGCGGGGCGGGGGCGGGGGGTGTGGTGTGTCGGTGTTCTGCAGTGCTGAGGATGAAACCTAGGGACCTAAGGACTTGCACATGCTAGGTAAGCACTCTACCCATTTAGTCCTAAAAAAAAAATAGAGATAATTTAGGAAAATTGATTATGAAATAGATATTAGGTGATATTAAAGAATTCTTGTTTATTCTACTAAATGTGAAAATAGTATTTTTTTTGCCAATCTTTGTCTATTAAAGACATATGATATAGAATATTTACAGGTGGAATCACATGGTGTCAGAGATTTGTTTTCAAGTACTACAGTGCACACAAGCAAAGTGGCAGAAGAAAGATGAAAAAAGAATAGCAAAGTGTTGGTAACCCCTGACGTTGGGTACATAGAAATTCATTACACTATTCTCCATGTTAGTGTACATTTGAAAAATTCTATGTTGGTAACCGCTGACGTTGGGTACATAAAAATTCATTACACTATTCTCCATGTTGGTGTACATTTGAAAAATTCTATAACAAAAACAATTTATTTTTTAACTACAAAGGCAATCTGGAGCAGTACATATGTTGGAAATAACAGGGCTCAAAGCAACTAACCTCTGTCCTGAAGCAAGGGCAATGGGAGACTGTCCATTGGGGGGCCGAGGCTCCTCACACGTCTTCATCTCCACCTCTACCTTATCCAGACACTGGAATAAAAGCCATGCAGAGCTAAGCACGTGCACAAAACCACACAGCACATAAGACAGCAGACTTCGTGCTGATAATCACCCAAAAGTCAACAGAAACTGAACTCCTAACTTTCCCTGTCAGGATTCCAAGGGAAAACAGGGAACTCTAAGGATAGAGCACAAGCAGCAAAAATTATTATTTTAAATAATAATAATAATAGCCAGGGGTGTTGGAACACACCTGTAATCCCAGCTGCTCAGGGAGATGAGGCAGGAAGATCAACACAGTAGGGAAACAAAAGGGCATCTGACACGCCCAAGATGGAAGAATTCCTTCCTGGCCTGAGCAACCTGTAAAAATTTGCCTCAAATAAAATTTAAAAAAAGGGCTGAGGACATAGCTTAGTGGCAGAGTGCCCCTAAGTTCAGACCCCAATACTGTGGGGGGCAGGTAATACCTCATGGGGCTTATGAGTCTCAATGCTGATTCTTACCCCGCCCAGCAGTTCCAGGATAAGCCAGGACAACAATCATCACTCTATCTCAGAGAGAAGCTCACAGGGCCATAAATAAGTACCTACCACTCCCAAAAGGGTCAGCCTATCAGGATTCTTCCTCATCTTCTCTCCTACCTTTTGAAAGTCTACCCTAGCCATCCCCATTTGATTACTCGCAATCAAGAAAGGCCATTACCAAGCAAATTGGGTGTGTCTTCAACTTTGTCCACTGGATCTGAAAGAGGAAAGCAAAAACTCAGGGATGTGGGAGCTGCCCTTGGAGAAGGCAGGCCTACTGGCCAAAGGCAGCAGCAGCACTCTGACCCCTGTTCTCACCCGGATGGAGGCCCTGTTGCAGTAGACCCGAGTGATGGCTAACCATGTGGGCAGTTCCAGCACATTCTGTAGAACCTCTTCATCCAGCTCCAAGTTGGTGAGCTGACCCTCCCCCTTCAGGGTGCTCAAGTTGATTTTGTCCGGGGAAAGATTCTTAGTGAACCTGAAAAGAGTAATGACAAGAAGCTATTATATCCATGAGAATCTGCTAAATGAACATCATAATCACTAACATTTCTGAATTCAGAGTAAAGAGAAAGTTCAAGAACAAATATTGACTAATGACCACACTGTCTCTACACCACGTAAGATTTTAGGTGAGATCTATCATCCTGTCGTCCTATTCAATCCTACTGTGGGGACGCTGGGGAAATGCCTGTAGCAATGGCAAGCCACTATTTTGATATTTCTGAATCTCCACATAAAAATAGAACAACTAAACAGCAGCACAGAAGGGTCATGGTTGACATTTACAAGAAAACTAGAAGATAAAGTATCCTTATAAATCCTCATGTGCTACAGTTTGGTAAAAACACCAGCACTCATTTGACATGAGTGCTACATGCAGCTGTCAGACAAATAGAGGGAAGCCTGACAAGCCTGGGAACAGAGGAATTCCAAGATAGCCAACCAGTATTAAATGAAAATCAGAAAAACAAACTGGGAGGGGTTTTGTCTACCACAAAGGGTCTCCAGTAAGACTCTGGGACACTGCAGTCCTAGAAACTCATGAAATTAACCTTCCAAAGCTCCTTCCTAGGCAAGATTCCTATACAGAAAAGAATCAAGTTAGGGATAACAGAAATGCATGGCCCTAATCCCTACTCAGGAGGCTGAGGCAGGAAGATAGCAATTCTGAGGCTAGCCTGGGCAACTTAGTGAGACCTTGCCTCAAAAAAATAAAAAGAGACTGTAACTCCATGGTAGAATGACCCTGGGGGTCAATCTCCAGTACAAAAGAAAGAGGAGGTAAGAAGCAGGAAGGGGAGCGGAGGGAAGGGAATGGGGAGAAAAAGAAAAGGAAGAAGAGATAAGCCAAATAAAAGTAGAGACAGGAGAACAGAAGATCAGGATATCTCAGAAAGTGAACCATTGTTTTCTAATACTACCTGAAGCAACAGAAGAGGAAGTTCTATGCAGCACAAAATAGTAGCTGGCTAATAATGGGCTTATTAAGCAGGGTAAAATAAAATCCCTGATGCTTACATATACCATTACTGATGTGATCAAAGAACAAACTATCACCTGTAGTCTTCCCGAAGGGACTGATCCTGACTCTCATCAAGCCCCTGAGCCGAGGGGCTAATGTGAAGGAAATACAGAGGGCAGAGGAAAGCTGCTGAACTGTATGCACCTTAATAGTGCCATCGACATGACCGTGGTCTGCATGGGAAACTATAGGTCAATTGCCTGGCCATGAATAACCCACAGTAAGTCTTCCCTCCTAACTTCTTCCCATTTTACTCTACGTGGACCATAAGAATGCTGATTTAACATCTTTATTTAGATGATCACAACAACTTTAAATATTTGTGGGGTTTGTTTTGTTTTGTTTTACAGTGTGGAGGATTAAATCCAGGGCAACATGCATACTAGGCAAGCACTCTACAATTTAGCCACATCCTCAGCCTCAAAAAATGTCATTTTTAGGGCTGGGGTTGTGGCTCAGTGGTGGCGTGCTTGCCTAGCATGCATGGGGCACTGGGTTTGATTCTCAGCACCACATATAAACAAACAAACAAATAAATAAATAAATAAATAAATAAATAAATAAATAAATAAACGTCCCTTAACAATAAAAAATATTTTTTAAAATGTCATTTTTATTTTCTATTTCACAAGTGGGAGAAAGCCTCCTCACCTGACCTGGACCAAACAGAACCAAACTGCTAATAATGATGACACCATACTTTGTACCAGGTACAAAAGGAAGGTTCTTTATTAACATTATCTCAATGAATCTTTACAATACCCCATATGAGGCAGAAATTATTATCCCCATTATACAAAGGAAGAGTATGAGGCTCAGCTGTGAATTTGCCCCAAGTGATAGGGCAAGAAGAGGTAATCACAATATGAACTCGGGACAGCTCACTGGCATTGGCTTCTACAAGCATCTGTTCTAACAGTATGAATACTCCCTTCCAAAACAAACCTGCCACAGAATAAATTTATAAGATGTTTCAGAAATGGTTGGAGGACATCTTTTCCCTTTTACAATCAACCATGGTCTGCTTAACCCATGTAAGAAGGATAAACCTCAAAAAAAAAAAAAAAAAAATTTTTTTTTAGAGTCATAATGTAATGCTATCAAAAACCTTTCTGCACTTTACCAACCCAATCAAATTAATAAAATCTTTCCTAAGTACATCAGGGCTGACACCAAGTCTCTACCAAGATGCAAACAACAGACCACAGGGGGCTCCATGCCATCAAGTAGATGATAAATAACAAAAGCTAAGAGTGCTAAACCGCCAGGACTTTTCCAAGTCCACTCTAAGATGGCTCATAGTACATGTTTGTCTGTCAGACCACCATAGACTTGTTTTCCTGTTTAGTGACGTTATCCAGTCATGTGTCAGTTCTGAACAATGCATCATTAGGCAATTCTGTCATTGTGCCAACATCAGAGTGTACTTACACAAACCTAGATACTAGACCTCCACAGATGTGGTTGCTCAATGACCAAAATGTTGGTATGCAGCACTTGACTATATCTGCTTTTTAACTTACCAATTTATTTTTAGAATTCAATGAAAAATGGATACCACCTTATTAGTGTCTCAACAAATTCTTCAGTTAAGAATTCCTGGGGAGGGCTGGGGATGTGGCTCAAGCGGTAGTGTGCTCGCCTGGCATGCGTGCGGCCGGGGTTCGATCCTCAGCACCACATACAAACAAAGATGTTGTGTCCGCCGAAAACTAAAAAATAAATATTAAAAAATTCTCTCTCTCTCTCTCTCTCTCTCTAAAAATAAAAATAAAAATAAAGAATTCCTGGGGAACTGAAGCTGTAGCTCAGTAGCAGAGCACTTGCCTAGCATGTGTAAGGCACTGGGTTTGATCCTTAGCACCACATAAAAATAAACAAACAAAGGCATTCTGTCCATCTACAACTACAAAAATATTAAAAAAAAAAAATAGGAATTCCTAGCACCAAAATAGACATGTAAACAAATGGTACAGAATGGAGAACACAGAGACAAACCCACATAAATACAGTTATCTCATACCAGACAAAAGCACCAAAAACATACACTGGAGAAAAGAGAGCCTCTTCAACAAATGGTGCTGGGAGAACTGGAAATCCATATGCAGCAAAATGAGACTAAACCCCTGTCTCTCACCATGCACAAAACTCAACTCAAAGTGGATCAAGGACCTAGGAATTTGACCAGAGACCCTGTGCCTAATAGAGGAAAAAGTAGGCCCAAATCTTCATCACGTTGGATTAGGCCCCAACTTCTTTAACAAGACTCCTAAAGCACAAGAAATAAAATCAACAATTAATAAATAGGATGGATTCAAACTAAAAAGCTTCTTCTCAGCAAAAGAAGCAATCAATGAGGTGAAGAGAGAGCCTACATTTGGGGAGCAAATTTTTGCCACATGCACATCAGATAGAGCACCAATCTCCAGGATATATAAAGAACTCAAAAAACTTAACACCAAAAAAACTAACAACCCAATCAAATGGGCTACGAAGCTGAACAGACACTTCTCAGAAGAAGATATACACTCAATCAACAAATATATGAAAAAATGTACAACATATCTAGTATTTAGAAAAATGCAAATCAAAACAAAACTAAAATTTCATCTCACACCAGTCAGAATGGCAGTTATCAAGAATACAAACAAAGTGTTGGTGAGGATGTGGAGGAAAAAGCACACTCATACATTGCTGGGGGGACTGCAAATTGGTGCAACCACTCTGGAAAGCAGTTTGGCGATTCCTTAGAAAACTTGGAATGGAACCATTTGACCCAACTATCCCACTCCTTGGTCTATACTCAAAAGACTTTAAACTAGCATACTAAAGTGACACAGCCACATCAATGTTTATAGCAGCTCTATTCACAATAGCTAAACTGTGGAACCAACCTAGACGCCCTTCAATAAGTGAATGGATAAAGAAATTGTGGTATATATATACAATGGAATATCACTCAGCATTAAAAAAGAATAAAATTATGGCATTTGCAGATAAATGGATGAAGTTGGAGAATATTATGCTAAGTGAAGTAAACCAATCCCAAATAACCAAAGGACAAATGTTCTCTCTGATAAGTGGATGCTGAACCATAATGGGGGTGGTGGTAGGCAGGGGAAAAATGGAGGAACTTTGATTGGGCAAAGGGGAGGGAGGAGGAGGAGAGGGGGCATGGGGGCAGGAAAGATGGTGGAATGAGATGGATATTACTACCCTAGGTACGTGTATGACTGCACATATGGTGTGGCGCTACATCATGTACAATCAGAGAAATGAAAAGTAGTGCTGCAATTGTGTACAATGAATCAAAATGCATTCTGCTGTCATATATACCAAATTAAAATAAATTAATTAATTTTAAAAAAAAGAATTCCTTAATTGTAGCTGGGAGTGTAGTTCAATCATTAAGCGTTCACCTACATATTTGAGGCCCTGGTTTCAATCCCTGCCACTAGAAAAATGAAAAATCCTTTAACTTATTTTGCCTGCATTTTGTAACAACAGCAAAGAATAGGCTTAAAAAGGTAATCCAGGGGGCAATTATAGAAGTTTGCTGATCCAAGGAAAAAACTGCTGAGAATTATACTGTTGAGAGCCACAGCCGAAGGGGCCCCAGCAAACTTCCAGCTGCCCGCTGATGATTGGCTCACAGTGGCCCCAGCAACATCTAGCTGATTGGCTCCTCTGCGGTGATGCTCATTGGGCTGTTTCCCTGCCCTTTCAGACCACGGAGCTGCTCACTGGGGGACTTTTTTGGCTCCGCCCACGTGACCCAGCCAATCGGCCTCAAGAGCAGGAGGATTGTGGGAGGTGGAGAGAAGCTTGTGTGGGAGAGAGAGGCTTGTGGAAAGCCGGTGGTGGCAGTTGAGGCTCTGAGGGTTTTTCCTGAGAGGCTGTTTTGTTTGGCGTGTGTGGTTCTAAAAATAAAGTTAGTTTCTTTTGACAAGTGG